TTATAACTACTGAATGTAATTTTACTTTAATTCTGGTTTTCTACCAAGAATACAGTGCAAAGTTATAAATTCATCTGTTATATATAGCTTATTTTTCCACTTGCCTATTTTAAGACAGAGTTGCAGTTAGTTCATCATGAAGGAATGATAAATAAGGAGAAAGATATGTCTACCTTGATTTGAACATTATATAATGTATCTTAAATCATTATATGGGTCCCCATAAATATGTAAATTTTTTGCATTAGTTAAAAATAATAATAAAGCCAAATTAACAAAAAGAGAATTAGAACTTATAGTCTGTCAAGTTAAAGGTTGAGTAAATGCAAAGTACTTGATGGAATTTGCAGTCTCTACTTAGTCAAAACTTTCCCTTTCTTCTTTAAATCACTCACAAAAGATCTCCCTTCCATTTGGTCACCTTGATCTCAGGCAAAGCCATTGAATTGAAGACCTCTTGTTTGCTTTAGAATGAATCAGTCAAGATCTGTGTAAGTAAGGGGCAGCAAGGTATTAGGTATGCTGGCATAGAAGCACCATACATTGTAGTTGGGTATCTTGGTGAAGTTTAAGCTGCCAAAGAGGTCCCATCAAGGAACTGTCTTTCCAGGATTTGCCTTTGAAAGGGCTGGTTGACTGGCTGGGGAATCAGAGATAAATGTAATGAAGCACTCTTGATGAGTTCAATGTACAATGGATATAGTAAACTATTTAAGTTTCATGTGGCTTATTTTTTTTTAAAGAGATAGACACACACACACACACACACACACACACACACATATTTATATAGAGAGAGAGGCAGAGAGAAAAAGAGATCTTCCATATGCTGGTCTACTCCCAGATGGCTGCAATGGCCAGGGCTAGGCCAGGCCACAGCCAAGAAGCCAGGAGCTTCATCCAGTTCTCCCATGTGAATGGCAGGGACCCAAGTTCTTGGGCCATCTTCTGCTGCTTTTTCCAAGCCATTAGCAGGGATCTGGGTTGGAAGTGGAGCAGCACTTTTGGTCAAGGTAACTGGCCAAAAAATTAGTTTGAAGTAGAATTCAAGTTCTCTGTCACCCAGGTCCTCATTACCTTGCATTGACGTAGCCATTCTATTCTTCCTTATGAGAACAGCAATAGTAGAAGCCAGAAAGCAAAGAGGCAAAGCAGCTGTCATCACCGACACTAAAAAGTGGCTTTTGAGAAGTAGGGTCATATTTATCCAGACATCTTGGCCTCCTACAAATATATAATGAGAAAAAGGTCATAGAAAAACAGAATTAAAAGATATATTCAGGCCAGTACCACGGCTCAATAGGCTAATCCTCCGCCTGCGGCACTGGCATACCAGGTTCTAGTCCCTGTTGGGGTGCTGGATTCTGTCCCGGTTGCCCCTCTTCCAGGCCAGCTCTCTGCTGTGGCCAGGGAGTGCAGTGGAGGATGGCCCAAGTGCTTGGGCCCTGCACCCGCATGGGAGACCAGGATAAGTACCTGGCTCCTGCCATCGGATCAGCGCGGTGCGCCGGCTGCAGCAGCTATTGGAGGGTGAACCAACGGCAAAGGAAGACCTTTCTCTCTTTCTCTCTGTCTCTCTCTCTCACTGTCCACATTGCCTGTCAAAAAAAAAAAAAAAAAAAGATAAATTTATTGAGGTCCCAAAAAAAGTGAAATCCACATTTTCCAAGAACTTTTAGAATACCCTTCATTTTCCTGGATTAAAAAAAATTGTAACAAAATAAGCTTATCATTTAATTCTATTTCACCATACTTTTTGAAGTCCCATCCTATATATAAATGTAATTTGATTCTTCTTAACCAGTTTTATTTTTATAAAAATATACTTGTAAAAGATCTCAGTTTACTTCACCTGCTTCCTTTAGTTGTTCTTCTTTACTGAGTTTACTGTTCTCAGCATTCTGACAAGCTCCAAAAATAATGACCTATGCTGTGTATTGTTAAATGTTCAGTCAGACAGATAGATACAGATGGATGAGTGCTGTGTTGCACAAAGACAAGTCAGCATTATTTAATCAATGTTTGTTTGATCCTTGCAAAACGAGTATAAATGTAAGCTGCATCCCATCTGTTTTATCATCCATGTGAAGCCAACCTCATTTTTAAAACTTGATTTCTTATGTAATTGCCCCAAAATAACACAGGATGATAACTTGGGAAGAAATATCACTCAGACTGTAAAAGAAAGGATAGCCATGCTTAGGTGTATTTCCCACGATGTGCTGCTTGATTTTGCAGTGGCATTCTGGATGGTTAAGTTGCTTCACTGTGGTGTTACTACCTGGTAATTATCGGCTGAGCTTTGGAATCACCAGATCTGGATTTGAGGGAACCATAGGAATCTAGATGCGTGTGTTTAAGCAAATTATTTACTTACCAAGTAGCACAGTGCCTGTCACAGAGATGCTCAGTAAGATTTACTGAATTACTCTTTACTTCCATGTCTTCAGCTGCCACAAGGGAAAGCAACAATATCTATCATAACAATTGTGAAAATTATATGATATTGCATACAAAGCCTAATAAACTGGCAGCTGTTAATATAATTGTTACTTACAAGTTATCTTCTCTGTGACCATACTTTGGGTCTAAGCAATTAAATATGTGACATACAGCTGGTGTTTCCACACCACTTTTTAAACTTTTCAATATAGATATCAAGCAAATTTATGCATAGGGCTGAGGATAATTAGCAAGACAATGAATGGACATGAGTTAAAATTGTCTTCGAGTTGATAGATATAATTATGTCACAATAATCAAAGTGTATCCTTTTATATATCTGTGGGTGATCCTTGCCAAGGCTATCAAAAGGAGTATTATCTTCCAACCAAAGCAATGCATATCAGTGAGATGAGTAGCTACTTGGGGTATTTGGAAGAATGAGGTATAGAAGGCTTTTGTATTTGTAATTTTCATCATTGTAAAGTGGAATATCAGTAATAGTTGTAATTTCAGGATCATATGCTTAATTACTATGCCATATGAGAACAGATGTTAAATATTAAAATTTTGGTATCCTGTACATTGAGGTTTCCATCGTTTATTCTATAGCAACCATGTTAGGAGCTTATAGTGGAATTGCTCCTTGATTTCTTCTTATGAATTTGCTTCAAAACATTTATTCATAAATTCTGTTCATTTATTTGAAAATTGTCTGTTGAACTACTTACTGAGGAAAGTGTACTGCAAATGCAAAAGATGACTGATGCTGTACAGGTTTAACTAAGGGCTTTTAAACTCTGGATCACTCAGACCAGTGCAAGTGCTTAAACAGGGACCTAACTTGAACCTATTACAAAGACAGCTTTAGCAGTAGTATGAAGAATGGATTGGAATAAGAGATTAGAGGAAGAGTTTTAAGCAGATAACAGTTACTGAAGATCTGGACTTAAGAAGTGTCAGTTGGATTATAGATTTAGGATGCATATGAGATTTTTAAGACAGGTCTTGGTCACTGCATGGAGTTGTTGTGTATAGACAAGGTTCAGGATTGACCTAAGGGCTTCCAACCAGACATCAGCAGAAGGGACTATAAATTTCCCTGGAGAAACCAGCTAAAATGTTCCTTAATTACATTATTCTTTAGATTCTGAGGCAAGGATAATTATTTCACTAATGTTATCTAAAGATTAACACAGACTGAGAAAGTAAGACAGTTTTATATTCCTTAGTAAATAGGAGACTGCAGTCTGAGAATTTTAGTGTGCTTAGAGGCCATTCCTGCTATCAATGGCTCTTGATACTCGAGTTTTACTATTGTGCAGGACTCCGCCTTTTAACAAAAAGTGTAAGCCTTTTAATATTGTGATGACTGTTGGATATGTTTTACTTCCAAATTCTACATGTACATGTAAATGTATGGAAAAGGCCGAGACTCAAAAAAAATGGCTAAAACTCCATTAACAAAATAATTACCTTACTTTTCTAAAGAAATTTTCACCTGGATGACACTTAATTTTATCATTATTTCTGAAAACTCAATTTTGACCATTTATAATCATGTTTGTGTGATTACTAAAGTCATCTCTCCATATACCATGAAATTATACATCTTTAAAAGGTGTCAGTATCCTGTGCTGAAAGGTGTTTTGATATTTGTAGGAGTGCTGGAAACTTAAAAATCCCCTGGAGTTTTTCTAATCAAGCCTGAATTTGATCCTGAAATAATAATTCTACTTAACTAGGAAAAATATTTATACATACTTGTATAATATTTATTTTAGATTGTTGAATGATCTAAAGTATCAAAGAAAGGCATTCAAAATTAGAACACAATAAAATTAAGATAAAAATCAAGCTTTATTAATTGATGTAACAAATAGTGATAAATGGTAAATATATAATGATAAATAGAAAACAGACTCTGCACTAGATCATGCAGTAATATTCTGTCTCAGATGATTGTTTGATTCAGCATGAACTCCTTTCATTACTGTTTCTGTTAACTATTTGAATCATACAAATTCCCTTCTGATACTGGTCATGGTGTGTGATGGAGAAGCATACCAATTCTTAAATTGGCATTAAAATTGAGTGTGTAGTTCAAGTGCAAGCAGGAAAGTCTGCCCTACAAAGCCAGTGAAAGGCCAATCAACTTAAAGATCAAGCTTGATCTATACAGGAAAGAATAGAGAAGTGATAGTAAAAGAATGTTCATAGAACTGGAAGGAATATGGAACCAAGAAAACTTGTAAAGTACAGCAGCACAGTTAAATGGGGAAATATAAAATATCTGCCTTTTCAGTATTAACAGAACATCTATATTGATTTTTGCTTTCAATTGATACAATGTTGGTGACTATCATTGTTTCTTACTATGATTAATCATTTCATGTTATACTGGTTATAATAGCGTTCTGCTTCACAGCTAAGATCATCTTGATGAAGTATGGCTTCAGAATTTCTTTTTAAATCATGTTTGTTGTTTGTGATAAATGCCTATAATGTGATGTTATTCAGTATTGATTTTGTGTGTGTGTGCTGTTTTTCTATTAAAGTCAATTGACCCTGGCCAGCAGTTCACATGGGAACATTCAAACTTGGAAGTAAACAAACCAAAGAATAGATATGCAAATGTAATCGCATATGATCATTCCCGCGTTCTCCTATCAGCAATAGAAGGTAAGGAAATGCAGACACTATTCATACCATTATTTTAAAAAATTTAAGTTTATGGATAAAAATAATGTTAGCTAGATTGTTAGCCATCTACTAAAATAGTGACTTGAGATTGAGGCATTCTTTTACTTTCTCACACAAATGCTTCCTTCAGAGCATGCATTATCCTTGACACTCCCATTACCCTTTTGCCTCCACCCTAAATGAAACAACTGATGATGTAATTGATATTTTATTTGAGAAGAACATTGCTCTTTCCCATTTAAACAATGGTTGTTAATGTTTATGAATGAACAGGTGATTGTCATAAGAGGATTGTCAATTAACTGGTTGCTTTAAAAGTATGAGGAGATTGTATGCTAATAAATAAACTGGGATTTCCCCTGGGGACAGTCTAAAGGTCTGGAGTTGGTGGTGTGATAATTAATCTAAATTAAACACAAAGCAAATGTCCGATGCATCTAATTTGTGGACCGCTTGGCAATCCGTCTTCAGAAGTGTATTCAAGCATGGCTGCTAAGGATTACTCCTCAAGCATCCCCAGCTTCCCATAAGAATCCATGGAGAGGGTAGTTTCTGTTCACTTCTTTCCATTAATAAATCCCTTCTTCACACCACATTAAAGAATTAGGAGTTTGTGTTCCACAGTCGACATTTTGTGTTTCATTTGGCTACAGGAGCACCTTAAATTGAAAAGTCCACTTGAATCCTTCCCTGTTTCGTAACAGCCAACCTGAGCCACCACCTGTCACATGTGACATTGGTCTTCAGTGGTGTACTGCAGACCTCTGTGGCCTCTTCAGATTTGAAAGTTCAGTGTTTATCCTCCTGGAGATGTTTTATAAAACAGCAGCTAGTACCGGCTTCACATCTAATCTCTTTTTAGGACTTTACAATGCAAACATGTTTCCCTACTATTGTTCAAGTTTCTTCCCCTTATTTATGCTTCCAAAATCTCTAAGAACCCCTAATTGATCTCATAAAGTCCAATCCAAGTCCAACTGGCCTCCCTAATACCCAAAATTAGTTTGAAAGTGAGACACGAAAGTGAGACACTGCTTAAACCTTTCCTAGCAAACATCAGATGTTACCAGAATATTTATTTCCAGTTTGGGAAACAAAAATCGTCTCCCAGCATTTGAGCAACCAGATGCCTATAACTCTTCTTGCCTCTAAATTGGATTGTGTAGCATAGATATATTTTACAAAATTCTCACATGAATTTACTTTGTTTTTTGAGTATAACATATTTTTTCTTAAGTAGAATGGTATTGTCCTTTTTTTTTTTTTTTGAAGATTTGTTTATTTATTTATTTGAAAGAATTAGAGATCTTCCATCCATTGTTTCTCTACCCAAGTTGCCACAACTGCTGGAGCCAAGCTGGTCTGAAGCCAGGAGGCAAGAGTTTCTTCTAGGTCTCCCACGTGTGTGCAGGGGTCCAACTACTTGGGTCATCCTCCACTGCTTTCTCAGGTGCATTACCAGGGAGTTGGATAGGAAGTGGAGCAGCTGAAACTAGAACCAGCCATCCGTATGAAAATCTGGCACTGTAGGCAGTGGCTTTACCAAATGTGCTACAGCACTGACTCCTATCAATTTACTTTCAAGAATAAAAAGTGTTAGGATACCTTTTATAAGTGATCGAAGATGGAAGTATTCAAGAAATAACCTTTTTCCATACCGGGGAAAAAAAATGATTAACTTCATCAAAATTTCACCAATGATAACTCAAGCAGGATACTGTTAAATAGGGATTGCTTCCTTTCAAGAAACTTTAATTAATATAAGCAGATGATTAACATAGAATATTGGCATTTTATCTATGTTTCCAGTTTTAAAAATGTAAAAAAAATACTAATTTATTTTGTAGAGTCTCTTAAATCATCTCTGTAGTCAATAAGAGACTAACTGAGGTCACAAATACAATAGAAATTGTTTTCGTTAGTAAAGCAAGGTAAATTATAGAAATGAAGATAGATGACTGTAAGGTGGGAATGTATTTGGCAAGCTTGCCTGGAGAACTTGTCAGTTGCCTCTGCTGTATTGTAGCGATGTTTCCACTCAGAATTAGGTCATTCAGTACTGCCATTTCCCCACTTTGTTATTATTTTCCTTAACCTGTTATTTTCCACATCTTAACAGTAAAGTATTTCAAGGAACAAAAAAAAAAAAAAAACCTTCCCTGTGCTTTTATTATGATAGTTGGAGGCTTACATGAATTTTATTCCTAGGCTATTCTTACAGTATAAAAGTAAAAGCACTTGAATCCGACTAAAAGCTGCCTTTTTATAGCTGTGTGCCCACACGTACACCCTAAATCTAGAGCTGACCTAGAAACCAAAAAGTCTTCCCATTTTAAGTGTTATGCAAAGCTTAGAAACATAATTGAAGTTTATGCTCTATACAGAGAGCGTTAATCTAGATTACAACCAAGAATAGCATTTTATCTTAGACTAAGCCTTAACGAGCAGGTATTTAAGGGGCCGTCAATCATCCTATAAGCACAGAAGAGAAGATGCTGGCAACTGGAACCACAGAACAAGCGTCTCCTACAAAAACAGCTTTGATAACACAGGGCCAGATTTTTCAAGTATACTGAAATGTTTAGTGACTTCATGCACAATTTACAAAACTCAGTTTGCTTATTTTGAGTCCCACCTGTGTCACTAAATCACTTTGGTTAAGGATTTTAATTTTGGCTTTTTTGCTTTTGTCTCAACAGTACTAGCCACTCTCATTACTTTGCAGAGTGATCTGACAGAGAAAAAAACTGGATGCAGCCACAGTGATTAATGTTGTCTTTATTTCTGTTTAGAAGAGAAAACGTATACCTTATTTCCACTGAAAAGATGACAGGGGCTAAATGAGAAATGTGTATGAGCACTAACGTGCTTCTAGAAAACAGTGACACTTTGTGACATGTTTCCCAATCACAGATATTTCACTTATGGTATGAAAAATGCAGAATAAATGCCAGAGAGTATTAAAGACAAAATGACTTCAGTTATTGAATTTTTGAGTATGTAGTATGGATATACAATTGAAAATTTTTTAAAAGATTATTTATTTGAAAGGTAAAGTGACAGAGAGGAAGAGGCGAGGGGTGGAGGAGATCTTCCATCTGCTGATCCACTCCCTCAAATGACTTCAACAAACAAGATTTATGGCAGGCCAAAGCCAATAGCCAGGTACTCCATTCTCATCTCCCATGTGGATGGCAAGGATCCAAGTACTGGGGCCATCTTTCCCTGCCTTCTCAGTCATAGTAGCAGGGAGCTGGAGCAGAAGTGGAGCAGCCAGAACTTGAACCTGTACTCTGATATGGAATGTCGGCATTGCAAACAGCAGTTTAACTCACTGAGCCACCACAAAAGGCCCTTAAAATGATTTTTTGATAAATTCAGTTACCACTAGATCTTCATCATGTTTATTCAGACCTTAAGAGAAAACAATGATTCCTGAAAGAGAGAGGTAATAGGATTTATTTTAATGACTTGACATGTTTCAAGTTTCAAGTAAAGACAAAATGTAAGGAAATACTTAATATGCATAAACACAGTAATAATGCACTTAATCTTATAAAATCAAAAATTGTTCAGATAGCATACTTTTCTTAACACAGGAAAATAGCAATAGACGGATAAAAAGATGAAGAATGAGGAAGTCTGAACTTTGGTTCTAGCTTTGAGACAAATTAGCTAATTACCTTTGACTTTTCTGAGTATCAGTTTTCTCAGCTGCAACCTTTGTTTCTGACTTCTCAGAGAGATCTCGATGTAGTTTCCATATCAGTTATGTTATTCACCATACACAATGGTTTGATGGCAGGTATATAGGTAACCATATTTAGAGATGAGAAACTGCAGCTCATTCAGAAGTGGCTGAGAGTTGCACAGCATATAAATAATAGCTTACACTGGAAGCCAGATCTTCCAGTTCCTTGACCAGGGCTTCCACTGACCCACATCACCATCAGTACTGTCCTTTGATACAGGTTGTGACACTGGCTAAGTCACTTAGCAAGGATCCAAAAGCCCAATCTTCTCTTTTTTGTCTGATACTCCATTTTATCATTTGGTATTAGCCTATGGGTAAGCAAACATTACATTGCAGAATGTAGTTTCGTATTTTATGGCGTGGTTAACCTGATGCAGTGCTATGAAATGGGGAATCATAGTGATCCCCATGTGTTAGAGTTGTAAATTTGCAGAAGCAGGGTTAAATCCATCTATACCTCATCCCACAAGCTATCTACTCATCCCAGATATCTTCTTATGTACCTTTAACTTCTTATAAAAATTATCAATTCATGACAAGTTATTTATTATAATGCCTTATAAATAACAAAAATTAATTATTGCAGTCCAGGATTAAAAAATGAAGTTTTTCTTCTAAAATAAGGTTGATTTTCACTGCTGTTGTTTCTATATCTATACTAGTAAAATTATAGTTAATGTAATAATGTATTTTATTATAATCAACATAACTTATTAAATTAATACAGTGCATTATTAGTAATTATAATTTAGTTGAATTAATCATACTTAATTTAAACCATACTGACATAGATTTTCTAAAATGCTGTCAAGGCTAACCATAAGGAAAAATTAAAATACTACCTTTAATTCTACAACAAAGAAGATATAATAGATAGTTATAAATATAATATATCTATTACATATTGGACACTATGTCATAGATTATATGTATATCATCTGTAGTGTTCAGAACAACCTCAAAAAGATGAGGAAGCTAAAACATTGCAAAAGTTAAGATCTTTTTATGATTAGCATCTAATAAGAGGCTGGGCTGATAAGCTAATGTATGTCACCAGGACTCAAAGCTGTTGATCTCTCTAATAGACTGCTCTGGCCTACAGCTGCTTTTGACGTCCTAATAGCTGTGCTTGTGCACAACATAACTAATTCAGTAACTGCCATTTGGCTAGGAAGACTGTCTAGGAATTTTGAAGTACACATTTAGAAACATAATACAAATCTTA